AGGGCTGCGGCCGCTGGGGCCAGCGCTGTCCCTGCGGAGGTGAGAGGGGCCGTTCCGGAGAATGCCGCCCCGTGGTCACTGGGCCCCACTCGGGGCCCTGCCTGCACTCCCCCCCACTCCCAGGCACATCAGGGCCTTATTGCTTCTGATCAGTTTGGGGTTTATCTCCTGCCTGCAGCACTGTGCCTTCCCCGCTCTGGGGAGAGTCAGTCTGAGGAAGCCCCTTGACTTCAGACCTAAGTCTCCGGTCCTGCAACTTCCACCTCTTGGGTTCCCTAGGTGCTGGGCTCCTGGCTGGGGTTGGGACAAGTGAGGTGAGAGAGGCCAGGGGTGAGGCCTGGGTCTCTGCTCCGCCTGTGGCTGCAGCCTGTGGCCAAGCTGGCCGAGCTCCCTGGTTGGGCAGCCTCAGGCCCTGCATCCAGGAAGGCCTCCTCCAACACTGGGCTTCAGGGTGGGAACTTGCATAGAGGCCTGGGGGGTCCAGTCCCCCCAGTTAGCTGGGTGTAGAGACTTATGGGGGGCAGGAAAGGCTGGGCCAGGTGGTGAAGGGGCCTCCCTCATCTCTGCTGGAGCTTGGCAGGCCGGGTGCCCGGGGAAGGCACCGGGACAGGGGGCTTTGGCATCCCTCCCTGGGGTGAGGAGGGTCAGGCACAGGGCTCCAGGCACTGGAGGGTCCTGAAGACTGAGCAGTCTTTTCTGAGGGGCTTTAGGTACCACAGATCCAGGTCCCCAACCGGTATCAGAGGCCTGTGTCCCCTTCAGCCCCACTCCCCAGGCCTGGCTTCCCCTCCATATCCCCAAATCCCAGCCCAGAGTCCCCACCCCCGAGTTAAAGCTTGTGACCTGAGCCTTCCTCTTCCGGCCGGAGGACATCTGGCTCCTCAGCTGCAGCCTCGTCTGCCGGCCCACAGCGCTGGGCCCGGCCACCGCCACCGCCACCGCCACTGCCAGGGGTCCCTTCCAACCGGACCTGCCCGCCCACCCCATTGGCCCCAGCCTCAGCCCGGGCTCCACTGCCAAAGGGGAAGAGCTTGCTGGCGTGGAAGGCCTTGGGTGGCGAGTGGCTGCGCTCGGGGTCCCGCCGGGTCTCGGGTGATTTGAGGAACTTGAGGAAGGCCGGCAGGCGGGTATCGCTGCCTGTGGGTGACTGAGCAGGGGTGGGCCGCGCGGCGGGGCCGGGCCCAGTGCCCGCTATTGAGGATGTGGCCCCTGATGACAAAAACTTGCCCTGCAGCGGGATGATCTGCTTCAGCTTCATGACATTGTTGGGTGCCAGCAAGGACCCTGGGCGCTTGGGCCGCTCGGAACCGTGGCCACCCACCCCGCTGCCCTTGGCCTTGGCCGAGGCCTTCTCAGGGGCAGCGGGGTCCAGCCCGGAGCCCTCCGCCCGGGTCTCCTCCCGGCTGCTGGTGTCACGCTCCCGCCGGGGGTGGTGCTCTGTGTGGCGCTGGCGCTCCTCCTCCTCCCTCCGCTTCCGCTGCTGCTGCTGGTAACGGTGCTGGGCCTGGCGCTCGTGTCTCTGTGGGCAGAGTGGGCCGTTAGAGGGACGGGGAAGAGAGGGTGTGTGAGCTCCTCTAGAAGTGGGGAGAGATCTAAAGACCGAGTGGGTGCTCACTGCATCTCTTGACCCACACCAGTGCTTTCTGAAAATTGAGAAGAGAAAGAACATTTACTGGCCACCAACTGTCTCCACCCATGTGCCAGGCACCGTCTTATTAGCTGGGAGAGTATCAACAAATATTGGGCCTCCGTGGGCCTCTGCCTTCTGGAAAACCAGCCAGAGACAGAGCTGTGACAGGCACAGACCAGAGTCCTCACTGGCCAGTCCACTTGCCACATGTGGCTTTTGCAATGTCAATCCAGGTATGTGTTGGCCACCTGTCCTGAGGGGCCACATGGGCAGCATAGACACAGGACACTTCTGTCACCATGGAGAGCTCTGTGGATTGGTCCTGGACAGCTCCACGGGTCACACCCATGAGCTCATTTCTGAGGAATGTGGCGGAGGCTGGGCTTCCAGGAAGCAGCGTCAGCGTCAGCGTCCGTGCCCCTGATCCTGAACGAGCTGGTGGTGACTGCATGCTCAGAGTGCCAGCCCTGTGCTGGGTGCCTCTGGGCTTCCAGAAGGGATCGGGTCCGTTTGGAGTGCTAATTCTTACCACAGGCTCTGCACGCTTGCCTTCCTGTGAAGGCCATGGCCACCAGCCAGGCAAGGAGATGGCCCAATGAGCGGAGGAGGTAAACAGCCCATCCCATCCCGAGTACCTTGAAGGCCTCCCGGCGCTGGTATTCAAGCTTGGCCATCTCTTCGGCCACCCACCCTGGGATGTCAGGGATGGCCACGTGGATGAGGTACTTGAGAAGCAGAGCGAAGTGCTGAGGCAACAGAGGAGGAAGTTGGAGGTGGCAGGCTCAGGGGTGCCTGCCATCCGCCCAGCTTCCTTGTCTGGCCGCCCGGCTTCCTCACCTGGCCCCTAGCCCTACCTCAAGCACCACCACGGACACGATGGCCGCCTCGGGACTGAGCCAGGGGAAGAGGCGCTGCAGCTGCCCACACTGGCCGATGAGATAGCAGTTGACTATGATCGCCAGGACACCCATGGCCTCCATCACCTTCTGCGGGGGGACACGGTGGGGCTCAGGTGGGGTCAGCCCCCCTCTCTGGGCCTTGTGCTCCTTCCCGGTGCACCCCGTCTCCCTGTGCACCTCAGCTTGGAGCCCTTGGCCCTCCCACACCTGCCACTGGCCGATGCTCTCGACCCGCTGCCCAAAGGGCCGCTGCAGCCCCGTGCACAGCTTGAGGGCATCACTGCGGATCTCAATGAGGTTGTTGACCAGGGCGCACAGCGCAGCCAGGGGGAAGGCAGACGAGAAGAGCACGACGTAGCCAAACTGCACGAACATCTCCTGGTAGTCCTGGAACGTGTCCTGCGGGCAGGCGCCTACTCAGACCAGGACACTTCCTCCCTCGGACTACCTTTCTCCGTCAAGGCCACCTCCCTTAGATTATCCCCTATGGACCCAGAGCCTCCCCTCCGGCAGGCTCCTGCTTACATCAAGGGCCCCGTTATTTCCCCGAACCGCCACCATCAGACTGTGTGCCCGCCCCTCCGAGGGCCCTGCCGCCACCCTCAGACACCTGCCTTACCTCGTACTTCTTCATACAGCTCTCAAGCTCAGCCTGGGTGAGCTGGGGTGAGTGTTCCTCCTCGGGCGGGTCGATCCAAGAGGACCGATTCTGCCGCCGCTGCTTCTGGGCCAAGTTGCCTGAGCCAGTCTCCGGCTCTGGGCCCCCTTCTGGCCCCTGGTCACGGCCCTCACCCCCAGCCCGGCGGAGCAGGACAGCTGGGGGCTCCCGCTCAGGGCTGCCAGGTGCCCCCTCTACCTCATCATCTTCCTCGGCTAGTGTGAACACGCCCGGCTCCAGCCCCTTCTCGACCATTGTGGGGCTCCCCTCCTCCAGGAGGGCCTCCGGACTTGGGCCTGGCCGATGTCGCCTGACCCCCCGCTCAGCAAAGCTGACCTTCTTTAGACGGAGCCCGCAGTCCAGGAGGTCGCCCTCCTCACCTTCTTCCTCGTCCTCATCTTCCTCCTCCTCCTCCTCCTCCTCTTCCTCCTCCTCCTTGCCCCCTCTCAATCCATTCCCTCCCTCCCCACCTTCCCCCGTGGGCCGCCGTTCCACTATGGCCTCTTCCTCCTCCTCTGGTGCCCCGCAGCCCCCACTGAGACACCTGCGGCGTCCTCTGCCACCACTGCCGCCACCCTCCTCAGCCTGGGGTTCAAGGTGGTAGGGTGCAGGGCGCCGAAGGCTGAGCAGGCCAAGCAGGGCCTGGGCCAGCTCCCAAGCGGCCTGCAGGCTGAGCTCGCCTCGGCCCAGCCGCCGGTACAGGTGTGGCTGCAGGACCTCGCGCACATTCTGAAGAAACTGGCGGGTGATCAGCAAAGTGGCCAGCATCTGGAGGCAGGAAAGGGGCGAAGAGAGCTTGCGTGGGGAGCAGGCAGGGCCCTGGGCACCAGGACAGGCTACTGGGATGGGGCCCCCACCCTCCCAGAGCACATTTCCAGACACCCCCCCCCACAACCCAGTTCCTAACTCCACCCTTTTGGAAGAGCCTAGACCAGCCGTGGGCAAACTACGGCCCCTGGGCTGGGTCTGGCCCGTTTGAAATGAATAAAACTAAAAAAAAAAAAAAAAGACCGTACCCTTTTATGTAATGATGTTTACTTTGAATTTATATTAGTTCACACAAACACTCCATCCATGCTTTTGTTCCGGCCCTCCGGTCCAGTTTAAGAACCCATTGTGGCCCTCGAGTCAAAAAGTTTGCCCACCCCTGGCCTAGACACAGAGTCCCCAGCCTCCATCACTGTTCACCTGCTGCCAATCACAGCCCGACCAGCCACCGTGCTCCTGGCCCACCTTGCTGAGGGCTCAGGACTACCCTGCTTACAGCACCACCTGGGAGCTCAGCCACTGCCCAGGGCCCTGCGGGGCTGCCATCTGCACCACGCCAGGGGGGCCCCATCCCCTCGTAGCATGCACCCTCAGCTTGTCGTGAGGCCCCCAGCACAGCCACGCTGCCTGCCCCAGCGAGGCCCTCAGGCTCGCCACCTGCCCATACTTTGGCCTGGGCCAGGTGCAGGAGGCCCCGGAGGGAGAGGAGGAGCAGGTGGAACTGCAAGGCCACGAGCGGGCCCAGCACCGCCCGAAGCTGCCGCTCGAGGCTCTGGGACAGGGACAGGACGAGCAGGAGCTGTGAAGGGACCGACGGACAAGCAGACAGACAGATGGGGGGGGGGGGACAGGCAGAGAGGACAAACAGATGGACAGATGGACAGAGAGGAGAAAAGGATGGAGGATGGGGGAGGGGCTGGAGAGCCCACGGACCCCTTGGGCCAGGCCCGGCCCCCCGTTGGCCACCATGCGGGCAGGGCACTGCCTTCAGCCAGGGGCTCACCTCTTTCAGGCGCTCCATGTCCTTGAGGTAGAAGCCAATGTAGAAGAGGCTCAGGTAGGAATTGATGAACTGGAACTGTGGGAAGCAGGCAGTGGTCACCCTGCTGCCCCGTCCCCAGGAGTCCTGCCGTGCCCCGCCTGTTGGCTGCCACTCACCAGAACAACCTTGATAATGAGGTGCTTCTCGTAGGCGCTCTCCAGCCGGTAATTCTCTGGGGGTCAAAGGGGCGAGTAAAGGGGCGGCCTGGGGTCCCTGTGGGGATTGGGGACCTTCCTCCCGGGGGCTGGGCAGCAGGGACCTCCCCTCAGAGAGCATACCCATGTCATTGAGCCATATGGCAAGTTTCTTGTAGCCCTCCGCACTTATGCTGACCAGCAGGGCCAGCATGACCTTGGGCAGGAACCGGGCCAGCCGGGGCAGCCCCTTCACACTCAGCACCAGCTCCTGCAGGGGTAGGGCGTTCATGGGTCACCCTGGCAGCTGGGCTAGGCTCAGGCTGGACCTGGGTGGGTGGTCACCAGGTCCGGGCTGGGGCTGAGGCTGGGGACCCGAGATCACCTGCAACTGGAAACAGCCAAGCATCAGCAGGAACACGCAGGCCAGGCAGGCGAGGCACAAGGGGACACTCACAAACAGCTGGAAGAGCAGCCGCTTCCAGGGCGGGTAGTAGAACTCCTCGGCCCGCGTCACCGGGCTGATCCGCCGCACACCCTGGTGGAGGGCAGGGGCCAAGCCCGGCTTGGAGCAGAGGGGCTGCCCCCGACCCCCCACCCTTACCCATCCCCTGAAGTCATTTTCCCTCCAGCAGGCCCTCGCTTTCCCGGTACCCCCACCTGGTGCCTCCTTCCCAGTCTCCTGAGTCCAAGTTCCCACCTTACAGAGGATTCAGCTGTTATCCAGGCTGGCCCAGGAAGGGGGCTGTCTCAGGTGCCCCAGCCCACGCCTGGCCCATGCCCAGCACCTGATCGGCTTCTGTGAACGTGTACAGGACGGAGCCGAAGACGGCTGGATAGACCATCGCCGACGTGTAGAAGCCCAGCCAGGCAAAGTACATGGCAATCTTCACACCAAAATAGTCGCAGATCTAGCAGGAACACGCAGGCCAGGCAGGCGAGGCACAAGGGGACACTCACAAACAGCTGGAAGAGCAGCCGCTTCCAGGGCGGGTAGTAGAACTCCTCGGCCCGCGTCACCGGGCTGATCCGCCGCACACCCTGGTGGAGGGCAGGGGCCAAGCCCGGCTTGGAGCAGAGGGGCTGCCCCCGACCCCCCACCCTTACCCATCCCCTGAAGTCATTTTCCCTCCAGCAGGCCCTCGCTTTCCCGGTACCCCCACCTGGTGCCTCCTTCCCAGTCTCCTGAGTCCAAGTTCCCACCTTTCTCCTCTGAGTATGCAGCGTGCTCCCCCCACCCCCTTTGGCACACCCTTTCTGAGGCTGTAGCTGGATTTCACAGTTCCCGTCTTTGCTCCTACAGTGCTTCCTGCCTCCAACTCCCATTCTTTTGGACCCAGCAGCTTCTGACTGACCCTGAACTGGGGTCGTGGCTCCTCCACGGCTTCCCCTGGTGAGTCCAGAGTCCCCCACTTGTAGGCCAGCTCTGCCCCCCTCCGTTTCCACTCCTCCAAGAAGAGTGTTGACCAGACCACGTTGAACAAGGCGAAGACCACGCAGGATACATCCTGGCTTGTCTGGGGG